AAAATTTCGAAAAAATGCAAGTTTTAGTCACCAATATTTTTGGCGAATTTGTTCAGTTGGAATGCTGCCCAAAAATCAGAAAATGATGATGAATGAAGCCAAGCCACACGGAAACATAGCCAATAGATGTGGTTAATGATTTTTGAATGCCATAATGAGAAACTATTAGTTTCCGATTTTTGCCGGACCAATGAATCGAAAAAATGTTTTCGACTTCCATGTTTTTATGTAAACAAAAATTTGGAAAAATTCCATTAATTATTCCATTGAGCTGGCGATCACATAGATCGATAGAGGGATTTTTTTCCTGTTGGTTGCAAAATCTCTCAAATTGACCAACCCATTCTAATAAGCTGAGTGAATCAGTGGAGCGTGTGCGTGCATCAATTTGACCGCGTTGTTTGACGATGACCAGAATAATTATATTGCAGAGGTTTGTCATATAAAAATACCCACACAGAAAAATGCCAGTGTTCAGCGATGCGTGTGTTCCGTCCCATTGATGATTATTTATAGGCTTGCCTTTCTTCCTAATTTTTTCACTATTTTTTCCCCTATTTATGTCTGGCTTGGGTATATTCATAGAAACATAACAAGGTCGTATAAATTCAGCGCTCGAGGAAACATAGATAAGTATGAATACATTGTTCATATTCGCTTAATCTAATCTGTATTCTTTTTTTACTGTTTGAACTTTGCCCTACAGTGTCAGTCTTTCCAAAATTATATCAAAGGGCTCACATTTTCTATATAGTGTCTTATAGAAATTAATTTAATAATTAAATGATATTCATTTAGGAGTTTGATTGATGCCGCATTTAAATTTAAAACAATATAAAAAACTTTGTAGTTCGAGTACATGTAAAAGCGCACAATAGCACGCCATATCTTTAAATCAGCCGCCCGATAAGGTCCAGTCAAGTGATGGCAAACTTTATCTAGCTAATAATTATTGCCTCCAAAATTTCGAGTTTGGTTCGATTCGATTCCGCAGCTGAAAATAAAGCTGATCAAATCTAACATCCTTTACGTTTTAAAGCTTTCAACCCAATTTCAGACTGTACTCATCAACACTCGAAGGTTGATAGATGAATGAAGATCACTGGATAAGAACTTTAGCATTCATTGTTGTTCTGCGTCGTTGTAAAGGCAAATAAAGGAAAAAACCTGTGAAGTACTTTAAGCGTGAAAACAATAGCTCCTAACCGCTTAATAAACCAAGGTAAATGTGGCAATTAAGTAAGGAGTGCCCCTTCAAAATCATAGACGGTGCCCCAGGAGCTAGAATAGATAAGCGATAACGCCGGGGAAAGTTGAATATGAAAATGTATTTTTTGTTTCGCTGTGCGTTTATCAAGCCAGTTCCGCTGCAATTGTTGTTCGTAATGAATGGCACTTGGTTGAAAAGTCTCAGAAGGCAGGAGCATTGTTAATTAATTAAGATCCTCGACGTTCTAAGAGCCCAATATTTAAACTCTACTCGAGCAGCTTAAGTACCAAAGTGCTCTTAATGTATCACCTCGTAAATCAGCGCGATAATTGCGGCAATTGGGCTTTCACCTGGTGTTCCGATAATCCGATTTCGCGTTCGATGTGTAACAGCCGTCTTTTCCTGCTTGGGATCGAGGAAATGCCGAAAATGTCGTTTCAGAAGAGAAATTTCATTTATTGCTTCATCGAAACGCCGACTAAGGTGCACGATGTATATGGTCCAAGTTAATGGAGCTCTTGGAACCCAGTAATCGTACAGTTTTCAGTGTTTTTTTACTTAAATCAACCACAAGTCATTCAGGTCGGTTGCCTTTATAAGCCGAAACTTCTCGTTGTTTTTTTCTTGAACTGTGTCATTTTTTTCTATTTTCTCGACGGTCTGTGGTGTGCGGCGTTTCTCTATCAGGGTTTCAGAATTTTCACATTCATCGCCCACACTTAGCTTGCATAAATCGGTTTGTCTATAAATATTTA